TGTTTGGCTTGACATAGAACGTTAAGGTTGTTGGTGATGTTACTATAATTTATAAAACTAGCACATATTGTCTTAATGATAATGATGAACACTTGCAAAAAAAAATTAGATGTCAAACTTATATCCAAACGTATTTGTTAATCTATATATATCTTCTTTCTTGCAATATTACTCGATGTCACCCACGGAGAAGTATTAGAGGAGTATGTATATCACGTATGTACAAAACTTTTCACAAAGTAACATATTTTTTCGAAAATTCTCTCCTAAAACATTTTAAGTTTTTCTCGTTTTTTTTTTGTTTCAATGTGTAATTGCGTGTTTGAGCCCAACAAACTGTGGCATTCCACGTTTTATTAACATTGGCTTAGTACAACAACTACAACAGCAACAACAGCAACAACAACATTAGTTACAATTCGTGCCACACAAATGATTGCTGCATTTCCGCTTGGGCAAATTTAATGCCAACACAGAGCGCATTTGACATTTGAACCACGCGATCCCCACTAGACTCTATGCAAGTACGTCGCAGGATGCTTGCTTGATTGCAGGACTCTTACGTTTAACGTTTAACATGCAGCATACAACATTCAACATTTAAGGAGCAACAGTGTAATAAATTGAAAGACATTTTTGTACAACGTTTTCTCCATTACCATTACCAACGCCATCGCCATCACCATCACCATCGCTAGAATCCACAGCTTCAGACTATGCATCAGCTATTCATATGGAATATGTAACTGCGTACATCCATTTCCTTGACGGTTCTATTTCTGTGTGTGTATGTGTGTTGAAATTTATGTTTGTATTTGCACTTGGCGCTTGCACTTGAGGTGGCACTTGTAATGTTGCCGTTACCATAGACGTTGCAGCAAATTGCAGTGATGACGACCAAGACGACAACGATAAAGAGAACTACGACGACGACATGTGTTGCTTAAGGAAATTGAATTTTTATTAAAGGAAAACATTTTTATTGCAGATTATTTTCGTTTTCTTTACTGATTGAATATTTTTCTTATATCCAGCGACATGTGATTTTTCGTTCCTCTTCATTGATAATACCATGATGGTTAGAAATCATCATTGTAGAGTCCTTGAGACAAACTATCGTTTTCAGTTATTCTACTAAGTCCATACCAAGATATCGAAAAATTTTTCACAGATAAAATGAAAACACACTTCACTGAATTGTGAATTTTTTTTTTGGATTAACGAATCAACTTCAAAAAAAAAAAAAATTAAGCTGAAAATGCTCTCCGCTTATTTAAAATACTTATATTTTTATTTCGAATGCGGGTAATTAAATTTATTACAGCGAACTTTAGTACTCGCACTTCTGCCTTTCAACTAATCCAGTTATTAATAGGAGTATTCTGTACCCAACTGCTAAGCTAAGTAAATATTCACATATCTGTACCGCAAGCCTTTGTAAATATATAACTTGTATCCTTGTATCCTTGCATCCTTTTATTGACACTCAGCGTAGCGCATAACTCCGACGTTATTTGACGTAAAGTTTCCGCATAAATAAATTTGAAATTTTCTGCTGCCTTCAAACGATACGTAAATGATTCTGTGATTCTGACTGTCAAAATTTACTTTTGAGTATCTTATTTAGTCTGTTTTGACTAAAGGAATCATATCAAATTGCTCTCCAATTATATCCGAACTTGATACTGAAAAAGTACTTTAGTTTCTGTACAGTCCAGATACTAAAAAGTAGCAAACACGTACTTTACATAGCAAATTACAGTACATTTTTTTATTTTCTAGATTATTGCACTAGTTCCAATTAGATGTAAGTGTATTCTCATTTTATTATATATGATATAAAAAAGACATTCTATCCTATTATTCAGACAAATTTTATTACTGCTATTAGAATCTGCCGTAGCCATAGAAAAGTAAATTAATGTCAACTCACTCAAACCATCCATTTCACTTGGGATCACAATTTCATCCTATCATCAAGACTTAGTTTATGAACTTCTAAGTTACATAGTGGTCATATTAAGTATTAAGTACCATTTCCACCTAGTGGTCTATTGTGTTGCCATTGAAGTGCTCGAAACGCTTCACTTCATTTTAAAACTTTCATAAAGTGTAAAATGTTCTCTAAAAAAAGATTTACCATTTTAATAAAGTGAATTGAAGGCTTAACGTTAAAGATATCCCGTGGTGACCTGTTTCGTTGCAGTATAAGTACTCAGAACGACTTCACTCCATTATGAAAGCATAAAATTCTCTCTTAGTTAAGATTCTATGTATATTCATCTGAATGAAGTTAAAATAATACATTTAGATAACTTCGTCATAGCAATGATCGGTGGTGAACTAAAATGTGGCCTTATAAATGTACAAAGAATTTCAATCCATTCTGTATCTTGCAACAGTAAAGCATAATATACTCTTTTAAAAAAGATTCTGGTTTGCATTTTTAAAAAGTGATAAGGATATATAAAGTTGGATTATGCCGTATACTACAAAGGACCAATCTACATTATCAGCATTTCAACCAAGCCATATTGTAGAATCTCAAGACAATCGCCAAAGAGTTAGGGTTCACTCAATTCCCGTGTAATAATCTTATATTTATATCTTATTATTTTTATTTATTTTTTTTTTATTTTTAAAAACTATTTTATCACACATTGAATAATATTATTTTCAATGAATATTCTTTTTGTAATTGAACATAATATATTCTTTTGAGAAGCTGGATGACGGCTGTGGACACCCCAGCAGAAAAATTATAACGATCGAAGTAATCCGTGTCGTTACACAATAATCTGTAGGTTTTATATCACCCAGATGGCTAACTCTGTTGGTTTTCAATTCAGCCTTTCTTTAAAACAGAAAACACTCTCGAAGAGAAGATTCTGCATCTTAAGAAAGTGAAAAGGACATATTAAGTTAGGAGGTATAACATAATATTCTATACATGAAGCAAATTTTGCAATCCATAAGATTTCTTAAAGTTAAGTCAACTGAATCCATGAGTTGACCATACAGTTGTTTTGGATATGTATATATATCCATAGTTGTTGGTCTTTAAAACCATCTATTTATTCAATTGTTTGCATATAATTTTATAATTTTTGTTAGAAATGATAACTAAAGTAATATTCCTCAATACTAAATTCTGTTGTTTTATAGCAAAATCGTGGAAGCAATATTATTATCGAATAAGAACGTAAGCTTTATATATTCGCACAGCATCTTAATAAGATACAAAAATTTTTTTTTGTACATAAAAATGTAGAGTTTTTGTACAATTGTCGGATTTTGTCAAGCTAGCCGATTTTTTTATACAAAAAAATAACTTTTAATATATAACGTCTATAACTGTACGTAAATAAAGAGAATTCGATGTAATCTCGATCTTATCTATTGAAAAATATTACATTAATGTAAATAATATGAAGCTGGTAATACATATATACCCAATATATTCAAATATTATAAATGTGTTTGTAAGACACTCTGTTTGTACGAATGAAATTAATAAATATATACAACGACCACTGACGATTAATTTTTGGCTCTATTTGAATTAACTATATGGTCAATCCAAGATTTATTTCTATAAAAATTATAATTTCTTCACTATGTTATTTTATATATAATAACTTTCGATTTATTGCAAAACTTCGCGATTTTAACATATAACACTAATTAAGAAAAATTCATCCCTTTCAAACTCGAATAATAATATGTATTCTCAAAAGTTTAAATATCATCTCCAAGTCAAATATGGTTATCTGATATATATATTACAATTAAAAACTTGAATCTAATAAATTTTTTGAAATAGTATCACACATTTGTGAGAAACTCAATTTACTTATTAATGAAAATTAGAAATTTCAAGAAATATAATTCTCAATGTCTTTAGTCATGTGTATTCAGTCATGAATGCAGTTAAATCAATTACAATTCTCAATCAGTTGAGTTTTTGTATTAAATATATATCAACTGTTTTTATGTTGAAGTTGTTAAATTTTAATATGAATTAATGTTCAAGTGTGATTTCATACATAAAAATGTTGAAAATCAAGTGAATTATTAAATAGGTTTCTAATTTGTTCGAATGATTTTAATTTCATTGAATTAAACAATAGTATATATTCTTTTTGCTAGTAATAGACATCTGAGAGGAACTTATTTTGATTGTTAATATAATTAAATAATTTCACTTGATATATAACAATCTTGTTGAATATCTGCGTAGTTTGGAATAATTCTAATATGTTATTATTAATATTAAAAATTATTTAAATCTTAAATTCTGTCGTATTTATATATAGAAATAAAATGTTTATATGGCATTTTGTTAAAATATTATATAGAATACACTTTATTGCTATTGTATACTGCAGCCAAAATCTTTCTTGTAAAAAATCGGTATATATTGTTAAAAAACATATCTCTCAATTATTAGCTGTCTTTTAATTTTGGTAACGCACGATGTTTATTATTATTATTACCAAATAGTAGGCTATGCATGCATCCCGAATTAAAAGATCCATTGTGCGCCTAAAAGTCCAACTAAAAGAATTCTAGACTATTTATGAATCTCATAATTACTGTGGGCTTATATATGATATTCAAAGATTATTTATAAATATGTTCAACAAAGTAACCACAGAATAATACAGAAAAGCTATAAATCCATACCTCGACTTTAAATAATAATTATTCTAACAGTTCTATGTCTATTAATTTTCTCTTATGATATTGTGTTGTCACACTTTTTGGTTCAAACTAAAGTATTGCTTAAAATTTAAATAATTTTGGTTCAATTTATATTATCATAGAAATAGATTAATAATTAACTTTGATGTTTTTTTTTTGTTCTTTTAAACAGGGTTAGGTAAAGACTTCAATCATTCTCACATAATTATTATAAATATTTCACTGTTTATTTTCCAAATGCCTTTTTAGAGTTTTAAGTCATTTAAAATAAATAATTTATTAATTACTTACCATTTCTTTGCACTGTTTTTATCATTTCTAACAGTGTTTTAATATATTTCAGTTCATTTATCACATTATTTTTAAAGGTCTCTTATTGCATTTTAGTTCAATTATCACATTACTTGCACTTGTCCTCAACACTTTAAATAACTCATATATCACATTTTGTTGTTCCAGAATATCTGCAAAAAAATAGATATAAAAATATATTAAAATTTTTTTTAATTTAAGAAAATTTAGAAAAATCTTATATGTTAAGTACAAATTGGTATGGGTCACATATTTTAAATTTTGAAAATTTTATTAGATTATGCTTAGTTGCCATTTCTTCTAGTGGGGCTTATGGAACCTCGAGGAACCTGAAAGTGGAAGCGATTGAGGTGGCGAATAGCGAGTGCCTAACAGATATGAGTGGTAGCAGGGAAACTAAACATCTCCAACACTTTAGGCCCAAGTAATCTCGGTGCTGCATACTTCTTGGACAGGAAAATATAGAAAAGACGGCGGCAGAAGAGTCAAAGAGATGAACGTAGGCTCTCAAAGTTCTTTTAAATCTGAACTCTAAATGGTAAACGACATGAGATCAAGCGTTAACAGAATATCAAGCGTTAACAGAATATCAAGCGGTTCACGTAATTATATTGTGTTTTTACTATTGAAATATATGAGCTCACTGATATACCCAGTTAAATCAGAGACTTTAAACCACTTAATAACCAAGTATATATGTAAAGTCTAAGTTGCTCAAAAATTGTACTTTGAGATTGCTTTTCTTGCCAAAAATCGTATTTAAGCTTTAATGATATAGTATTATTCCTTGTATAATGCTATCTCTATGTAAATGAACATGATTGCATTATAGTTCACAACACTTTAAAATGTCATCTCTTAATTTGTATAAAAGGACAAGAATTGATTGGCTTTGGTTACCTATATATATCTATAAAATATCAAAAATTTTTCAGAAATTTTATTAAAACCATTTTTAATCTTCTCTTAAATTTATTCTTTTTTTGGATGATTTCAATACAGCAATACTAATCATTAAAACTGTCAACTTTTTCTACTATTTTTACTCTAACAAATAAATCACAACCATCTACCAAAATAATTGGAAAATAAATTAAAAATGCAATACATCATCCATTTTCCCATTTCAATTTCCATTTACTACATAATCGTATTTACGAAATTACGGTATATTTGCATAGATTTGAGGATTACCATATGTGCTACTAATTCACCTCGATAATGCAATCAAACCAATTTGGGTGGGCGTAGAACGAAAATATATTTTAAATTTCACACAAAAGTTTCCTACCACAAAATCTATTGAATTACTTACGCATTTACACCTGCAAATTCGAAGTCATGCACAAATTTGCGAATTTTCTTGCTTTTCTTCCCATCCGTGGGTCATGGATGGGAGCTAGCAGGTATGAACGAGGAGTGTTTAGCCTAGCCTAGCAAGTAAACCGATTAAATGCACATAAATTAAATTATTTAATTGAGTTCAAAATCGAATTTCGTTGTTCAATAGGAAGTAAAATTAATTGAAAATCTTCGAAAAGTTTGGAAAGAATTGAGAAGAAATTGAATCACTTAACGAATTAAAAGTAATTTTAAAAAATAAAAGAAATTATTTTACTTTTATTTTTATTTTTTGTGAGTAGTAATTACGTTAGTGGTAATGATTGCTTTTAAAATAAATTAAAAGATTAAAATCTTTAACAATCAGTTTATAAATATTCTTTACTACTACATTTTATGGTCCTAATTTAGAGCACTATTTTACTAACACAAAATGCTCTACATAAATGTTTTATTAACAGAACTGTTATTTAAGATATCGTCCATATAACTCAAGATTATCCATTTTAGAATATCGATTGCTCAACAACCGCTGAACATTTTAATGTGATGAAATAATTATAAAAATGGCATACGTGTACATTTTAATGTACATTGGTACATATCGTGGATTACGTGATAACGGTGACCCTTGTACTCATCCATCTAAATGCGTTTTAGGTAAAACTGTTAAAAATTGGAAGAGTTGGATCTATAGTGGATGGGAAAATTTCACAATCAATCACTATCAATAGCAGCAGTAATATGTTCATAGACATCTTTGAAACATTTACTTGGAAGTAAATATTACTGCTGTTATGGATAGTGATTGAGTAGATAATATATTAGTACATAGTGGTCACAGCAATTTAACCGTGGAAAAGGAGTTAGAATATGCTTCCCAAGTTAAAGCATGCCTAACGTAAGTGGCCATTTAAATCCCGGCACAATGTAACACTGTTTGAAATGTAAGTGGAAGTGAGTGAGTTCACATTAGCGTTACCTGACTTGAGCTCCGCGGCTTTGGCTATCCTGATCAATTGAGGTTGTTAGTATCGCAGTGGCGATGGTTAAAAACCAAAATTAAGCGGGAGGAAGGATTGTATTTCCGTACTTTCATTTGGCGTTAGTTTTTTACACCGGGTCTTGTGTTGCAAAAATCTGCAGAGGTATGGGTAGGACTTGCTCCTTATCAAGGGAAAAGTTATGCGTAACATATAATTTCAATTGATTCTGGCAAAAATTCCTTAAACTTCCAATGGAGCGTCTTTTAGTGCATTATCTTAACACATGTATTGAGAATACCGTGGTATTGAGCAAACAAGGTAAGTAATCACGTAATAATTACTGGCTTTTTTGTCTAGCTCTCCCATGTTTACTTAATTTTTGGATGTCTGTGATGTACGTTACAATTATTGAAAGCTTTTGTCAGTTTATTGATGGCATCTTCCGTATAAAACGGTTAAACATCTCATTTTAGTATGCATTAATTAACATAACCTCAAATAATAATATTTTTAAATAAAAATTTGTTGTCAAAGTTTAAGTCTCAAGTATGTTATATATATATTATATATGTTATATGTATAAAATATATATTTTTGTGTTTTCACTCAAACTTGCATAAAAGTTCTAAAAACATGTTATCCAAAATTTTTTTTAAAGTTACTAAAATCGGTAGTGTAACCGTAACCATGTTTGTGTACAAATGTGGCACCATATGCACCTACAGATAATCAAATTTGTCTCCAATCATAAGTTTAAAAACATGTCCATTATTTGTCGGAAGGAGACTGCAAGCACAAAACAATGACATCAAACGGATTTTGGGAAAAAAATTCAACTGATTGTGCATGGAATATGAATCGTACAGGGAACTGAAGCTTTCATATGAAGTTTCAGATAGATTGCAGTGGTGAAAAAAACAGGACTATAAACTGATTCACACCAAAAAACTTTTTAAAAAAGACTCTTTTTTACTGTTGGAATTTTTTGTTGTCAACATCTGCACTCAATAAACTCACAACAAATTTGCATTCTTCAACTTTCAACATCCCTGTCCTCTGCCAACAAACTTCCTTACGGCCATGCAGCTGGCAATGTAGTTCTCTACTTTGAAGTGCACATAAAAAAAATCACCAAATAGAGTTTTTGATCCAATTTTATTGCCATTTGTTTATTTATTATTTCAAGCAATTTTTTTTAGTTCATTTGTTGTCATTTTTTACAGTTTAAATTCAGCTCGATTTGTTTGCCATTGATTTGATATTTTTTACCGGATTTGGTCGAAGTTTACACATTTTCACCATTGAAACTTTGGTTGCAAATTCCAAACAAATAAGAGCCATCAAAAAAATGAACAAAAAAGGCAAACATAAAAATTTGTCAAAATTCATGGAACTCAAGCAAAACGTAACATCAGTTCAAATGCAAATTTGATTTTAAAAATATAAAATATTTAAAAAATTCGAAAAATATTTACAACAAATTTTATAAATTTTTATTTTGCTATATTTTATAAATATTTGAAATTAATTAAAATAATATTTAAAAAATATATTTTTTACTGAATTTTTAAATTGTTTCTTAAATAGTAAATTCTTCATGAAATGATACTATTTTTCCATTTAAATGTATTGAACTTCCCATGTCTTTATACCTAATTAATATTGACATAAATATATCTTATCTTTATTTTTACAAGGATAAAGCATATCTTTATTAGGATTTTGTATGGATTTTGTATGAAATATGTGTGGAGTCAAGTACTGTAATTTAAATAACGCTTTATATATTACCATCAAGTGCTTCAACTTTATAAACATATATAAATTCCTTTAATTCCTAGGAGGAACTCCTTTATTACTTAAGATTTAAATAGCTGAAATATCTGAAATCAGCATAACCTATAGAAATATATTAATCCAAATTTCATTTAGAACTAACTGTAGACTTTTGTATTTAAGCAGTAATGATGTGACAGAAAATCTTGTAAAAAAAGAACATCCATCCTTCTAGTTGAAGAATTGAACCTGCTTATTTAAAAAGAAAGAGATACACAAAGTAGACTAGAGTAGAGTATAAGAATCCATTCACCGTTTTTGAGAATGTATGAAACTATATAAATATAAGTAAATATGTCAGCATTGGCTTTCCGAAAGCTTAGATATTTCTATAACAAAAAACGCAGTACTTGAGCATTAAAAATTCTTATTAATTAAATTAATTAAATTAAATTAAATTTATCATTTAATTTTGAATTTATTTATATAATAAATTAAATTAAATTAAATTAAATTCGTCTTATTTGACAAGCACGAATTCTAAGCCTGTCATCTAAGAAATGGTACGAACTATAAACTAATAAAAAAGAAATTCGCCAAATATCAAAAAATTAATTAAAAATTTTTGTTGTTGTCTTTTTATTAAAAATTAATTAAAAATTTTTGTTGTTGTCTTTTTATTTCCTTTCAAACCCGTCTAACTTGTTTAGAAAAACATATTTTATGGGGTCTACCTTTACACTTAAACACAAGAATAACTTACTCTATTAATGAATAGTTATATAGATTATTTCAGTAATCTAATATATAAGAGACTATCTGGCCTCAAGCAAAAATAGGGTTTTAGGGAAGTACTTTTTTGACACATTGTTAATACTTAGTTTTTATCTTTTCATGTGTTAAGGTTGCTTGTAAGGAATATGGTATCAAAATGGCAGATAAACGCAGAAAGATATCTGCTGATCTGTCACTGCAATCAATCAACACTATAAATCAGGGAAGTCGATGATTTACGTCAGTATAAAGATTTAACTAATAACAGCGCTATC